CTGATTCACAACACAGGGAGGAATGGGGACAAGGAGGCCCTCAAGAAGCAGAAAATACGATTCAAGAGAGCAGCATCTGGTCTGACTTTCCTCGATGTGATAAAAACTTAGGTGGGGCATCAGAGTCCCCAATGGAGACCGGGTTGCAACGAACTCATTACCTTCCCTTGGAGAACAGCTGGAGGAACTGAGCATTTTAAGTGGCTTTCCTTTCCCCTCGGGATGTTTATTGCAAAGTAATTCTTGGGAGAATTTGAAAATGCTTTAGAGCTCGGTGACAAAAGAAAGCCTTAAATTTGTAGAGCAGAAATCCCATTTCTGGGTCTGTGTTGAATTTGCAGGGAATCCTTAACTAAAGTCCACCGTTTGGGGCCAGATCTTCCATTGCTAAGCAATGCTAGGGATATCACTTAACAACCAGAGAGGGGGAAAGGTCATCAAATCACACGTGCCTCATTTAACGACCGTTGCAGTGTCCCATGGTCACGTGATCCCCATTTTCTGACCATCTGACAAGCAAAGTCGAAGGGGAAACCAGCTTCACTAAACAACCATGTTTAGTTCAGAGTCCTGACCTAGGCTTCCCCAAAAAGCATGATGCAGATTCCTGGTCCAGACAAACCCCTTTTATTAAACGAATGTGAATTCCTCTCATTCCCATTCAGCAAAGGCCTGGCAAACAGTCTTTCAAAAGAATATTCATGACCACAGACCTTATCTATCTTGGAAAGCTGCCCTGTAAATGATTTCCAAATGAGGTGCTGTGCAAGGAAAGACTGGGCACAGAGTCTCTGAGATTCACGGACAGATCTTCCCACTCCTGAAACGAATGTAGTGACCGAACGAATTGTTTCCTGCAAAAGCCCCCTCCCCTTTCACTCCTCTTTCATTTCATATATGGGAGGGGCCCTTCACTGTCCACCTCCCAAGTTGACCCTGATTTCTGAGATGTTCTTTTCTTCTGGCAGCTCTGCACATGCGCACCCTGGGAACAGGCTCCAGTTGTTCCTCTGCTTCACTGCTGTCTAGCTCCGAAGGGAGCTGATCGCTGCCAGCAGCCTACAGAGGCCCTCCAGAGGCTGGAAACGGGCCCGTTTTTGGACTTCCTGTAGGCCTGTTTTTCAGAAAGAAAAAGAGCCTCCATGCGGGCCCTGTCTTGCAACAACCAGTTCAGTGAAACTGCAAAATTAACATCTGGTTCACCCGAACTGATGTGAACTGGCTGAATTCCACCTCTGGACTCTATGGCGAAACTCACTTAACAACTATCTTGCTTAGCAACAGAAACGTCAGACTCAATTGTGGTCGTAATTCAAGGGCTACCTGTGTCCTCCCTCTGATAGAATAGCCCAAAATAAAAACAGAAAGTACGAGCAACGTGATTTCTGGATAATCTCCTTTATCTAGGTCTGTGTTGACTGATCCAGTTAACAATGATGTCACGCCTTTGTTAGGCTAAGCAACTTTTTTAAACGTGGTTTGTTAAACAAACCCTAGTGGTATGGCTTGACCACGAGCTATTTTGGAACGTGACTGTCCATTTCTCAACCTTGCAAAAAAAAGGAAATACAGTCCTAAGTTTTTTTCAAGCAGCATGGATCAGAGTAATTTCCTACCGATTTCAAAGCAGATCGGTGATTTTGAAGTGAGATCCGAGTCTCCACTGTACACTACAAAGGGAAAACATTGGGATAAATCTCTCACTACCCGGACTTGCAAATTGAATTATTTGCAAATTGAATATGGAAACGCTGCCGCTCCTCGCCCTCGGATGGCGCTTGGCAATTACAATCTTAAAATAATAGTCATAATAACCTTCTCTCTCTCTCTCTCTCTCTCCCTCTCTCTCTCTCTCTCTCTCTCTCTCTCTCTCTCTCTCTCTCTCTCTCT